CTACACGGAACACCTTCGGCTACTGACCAACATTTCCAGGAAGCAATCTAACGGTCACCGAAGAGGGGAGTGGACATAGGAGGGCTAGCCCGAGGTGGTCTTCTCAGAAACATCACCTGACTTCTGTACCATCTCTCACACCTGCCTCCACTTTGTAGTGTGTGCGTGTGCATGTGCATGTGCACGTGAGCGTGTTAGGAAACTAGAACCGCAGAATTCTGACAGCTCTGGAACCTGGTACAAGCGAAGGAAGTTCATTCTGGGCTGTCTTCTCTAAAAGATACTTAGCCAGAAGAACGCTGTCCCTTCTGTGGACTTGTGCTTTGCGGTTTCTCTACCTAAATGCGTTTGTTGCTTCTGTGAGCTCCTGAGACATTTCCTGGGGCCATTCTGAGGCGTCAGTGAACAGGGCAGATGTGCGTGTGCGTTTACAAAGGCCTGGCTCTGATGGGCTGGCGTCCTCCTTCCCTTCCCTGGCCTGCTTTGATGGCCACTCTCCTGGCTCGTTTCCCCAGACCACCCTCCTGCTCGCCTGCCTCCTGCCATCACAGTCTCTCCAGTAACTTCTGAAACAGCCATCTCCCCTCTCCTGGCACGCTACTGGAGGCAGGCCACTTCCTGCAGCATTCTGTGATACCCAGACAGAAGCGGTGGGGGGAAGGACAAATGTACAGCTCGTGCCGGAGCACGGGGATCCTGGCACGCTCTAATTTCCGGCAAGAAAGAAAAGAAAATCCCTGGGGGGGAGGGGGACAGTGGTCAAAAAACTCCCAATGTAAAACTGTATTTACAAATACAATCTTGCCTTGGCAGAGGAGAAGCCAGCTGGGAGGGGACAGGGGCCTGGGACACAGCATTGCAGTGCAGCTTCTCCACCACCGAGCAGGGCCTGGGGCCGCGGACAGCGGCCCATGGGCTGGGCCTGGCCTAGAGAACCTTTAGCGACAACAATGGGCTGGGTGTGAAGGAGACAGATCGTCCATCCCTCACACAGAGCCTGTGCTTTTCTATTTACAAAGGCCTGACTTGGCAGGATGGCTATCGTTAGCTAATCAAGCCCTTAACAGGACTTCTGACATTTTTTAAAAAGTGGAACATATTTTAAAAAAAACCAAAAAACCCAGTTAATAAAAAAATAACCTTAGAAGATGGTTGCAGGTAATGCAGTGTAAACTCTTTGTTAGTGAGAACAACAGCTGTCTCTGCTGGAGGACAGAGTCCAGGGGCCGACTGGGCACTGTACGGTCACTATGTGATTTTCTTCTTGATGACACTGAGCTCTTTCTGAAGTTCACTGAACTTAGGGCGGTTTTCAGGCTTATAGTCCCAACACTTCATCATGAGTTTGGCGATATCCTCTGGACACTGCTGAGGAGCTGACATCCGGTAGCCTGAAGAGCCAAGAGAAGGGCAGAGAATTCAGAGTGAAATAGCGTAAGTGCTCACGCGGGCACGACACGGCTTGTACATCACTGTACATGAGGTTGTAGGTGTAAGAGAAACCAAAACCCCACCTCAGGACGCCGACGGCTTCTCCCACGGGCGATGGAGAGTCCGCCCTGCAGGGCCACAGACTCACCTTCTAGTTCAAGGAACATGTATCTTGTTTGTTCTTTTGTCAGAAAGTCAGACGTGGGCTGTGCCACATAACAGATGCATATTCCAGCTTTTCTAAAAGTGTTTGCTTTTAGAGTTAGATGCTGTCGACAAAGTTTTTAAAAGTCACCTCTACAGTCTATGTGTTTGGAGATCCTGAGAGGATGAAGAGTTTATAAACGCAAACTTAACAGCAAAATAAAAATGCAGAGCTGTTTACAGTCTCTTGTTGCACAGGGTCCCAAGCAGCAGGTTGGGTGATGCACACCTGCCTGTGTGTGTGTGTGTGTGTGTGTGCGTGTGTGTGTGCATGACTCAGAAGGCAAGGTGTGTGTGAGGGAGGGGCAAGGTGGAAGAAGTCGTCGATGGACAATGTCTTGAGCCTAGCCCATAACCAAGCCTGTCTCGGGACCTGAGGCTAGGGTACTGGCATTTCATGGAGAGTGTCTTTGTTAAAAGTGACAAAGACAGGCGACGCATCGCCACCCCCCCAATTATTTCAATCTCTGATCTGGAAATACCACAGGATTCTTAAAGTTTTACAAAGTTCTCACAAGCTTCTTCCTGAAAACAGACTACATTTCAATTTGCAATATTATTGAGAGTTTTGTTTTTCTTTTAAAAATTTGCTGGAGGTGGGACCAACAGTTGGCGTAATGGCTATGTCACCAGACTCCCATGTAGTTGATCATGGTTCAAGTCTCGGACCCGGTGGCTGAAACTCATGCCGGGCACATGTGCGTGCATGCCCAAGATCCCTAGAGGAGAATGGAGGAGAAGGGACTGTGGCATGGCCATTCCCTCGGGGGGCGATATCTAGCTTTCTGTCTGTGTCTTTCTGGTGAGTGCACGCACCCTACAGCAAAAACCTCTCTAAAAAAAAGTTTGCTAGAGGGTGCATGAGCTTGGCAGAGACATAGACAGAGACAGAGAGAGAGAAAGAAAGAAGTGAAGTGAGAAGGTATTCCCCCCCATAGAGGATGGCCATGCTAGGATCCCTTCTCTGTTTCTCACCCTCCTCAGGATTTTGGGGGTACACACATACACCAGCATGTTTTTCAAGATGCCAGAACTGAGAGTCGAACCCCAGTGTAGGCTATGTGGGATCCAACTGGCTTAACCACTACAGCACTGGCTGGCCTGAAAGGGTTTATCTGGCATTCATTAGAAAAAGAAAAAAACGAACGAACAAAAAGCTAAGTTTGAAGAACACTACCTTCTTTTTTTTTTGGCCGTAGGATGTGTGTACTTGTAAGAGAGAGAGAGAGGGAGGGAGGGAGGGAGAGAGAAGCGAGAGAGAGACGAGAGACAAGTGCCTGGTCAAATCACTAGGTCTAGGACTCGAACCATGGTCAGCCATGTGGGAGTCTAGCACCTTAAGCACCATGCCACCTGCTGGCCCCGCTCTCTTCCTTGAACATCGTGAATGGCACAACTCTGCAGATGTCATGCCAGACTCGGGGGCTGGGGTTGTGGGGAGGGAGTAGAAATGCGATAAGCTCTCAAATTTTAAAGTGATGGAATCCTTTTAAGTTTTTTTTTTTTTTTTTTTTTTTTTAATTTTGTATAGGACACATGCTCTCTGTAAGTTCAAAAGCAGATCTCATCCACCTCCCATCTCGCCCTGGGCAATCCAGCCAGCAGACACACGACCAGCACTGCCGGCCCCTGGGGCTGGATGTGAACCCCAACAGCCCGCGTCGCTGGCTCACCTCTTTCCACTTGCTCCCGTGCTTGCTGGTTTGTCATTCCGGGGTACGGACAGACCCCTAAGCTGAAGGTCTCCCAGAGGAGGATGCCAAAGCTCCACACGTCACTCTCAGAACTGTATCTCCCTAGAAGGGGAACGACAGTCACAGCCAAGTGAGACCACGTGGACAGGCAGCGACTGCTTCTGGTTCTGTCGTTCTAGATATGAAATGGCCGAGGAACCCACTAGCGACTGAGCCTGTTTCCTTTTCTGCTTTCACATGCCAGGACTGATAATACTACAGTCTTCAGACCGCCAGTTCAACCAAACCCGCTTTAAATTCTCTTCCTTGTCCCCCCTCCACCCCCACCACCACGAGCAAATATTCACCCAGCACGCAAGCCTCCTTTCCCCGAGGCATCAGAATGAGCAGAGTGGCTTATAGAAAGAAGATATAAAGTCAGACACATTGATGCCTGGGAGACTGAATACGCTAGATTCTCGCAATTTTGTCTTGTACTTGCCTCATTTTCTTTCCAGTGAGATTACAAACAAACTTAAAGCAATAAGGAAAGTTTTTTCACTTCAATTTTTTTACTCGTCACTGTTTACAGATATTCTTGCATGCTTAAAGGTCTCATTTTCTCCACTGATCGAAAAGTGTATTTTCCGTAAATGAAACTATGTGTTTTGAATAGAGTGGAAATTAACATAGCTGGCTGATAAAAACAACTTCTTTAAATTGCATGGTGCCTTGTTTTGTCGAAATATCTCGTTGCACCTGTTTTACTGAGCGACGCGAGCTGAGCTCTTAGAAGTGCTTTAGAAGCCTCGTAGAGAAGCACCGGGATAAACAAACCCAAAATGTCTTTTGGAGATGGATGTGAAAGCAAGAAGGGGAAACTGAAAACTCTTGCCCATCGCCAACGGAAGATTTGCATTCCCAGACCTTGCCAACATGTTTGTATTTTTATTTAATTTTATACACAGATGCATAATATCATAACTAAAGTTCATTTAAGGAACTAAAGTTTTCTTAAAAGATTTCATTTTCTATTCCTCTTGTAGCTTCCTGCCTTACCGCTGCCACTCAAGGATGTATTAACACCCCTCCTCTAAAAATGTCCTATTTCTTTAAAATAGGATGGCCTTTTCTCTTTGTTGAAAAAAGTGAAAAGAAACGAGGGCATGCCTGTGCTGATAGCTGCCCTGACGTCAGCGCTGGGGGAGGACTTACCGACCACCAGCCCCAGCTGTGGAACTGGCTCCCGGCCTCGTAGACGTAATTACGTATTCACTACGCTGTTTGCTAGGGAGATGAGTTTTCTTGTCCGAGTATCAACTCTTTTCATGTTTGGCATCTAATAATTTAATACTTTTCATGAAACCCCATTCAGTGGCTATGAGCGCAAGCCAATTCTTTTAGAAAGTGTCAGATATACGAAGTCTAGTATCTGATTTTGTAAGATAACTCCTGAGCAGATGTGCAGCAAGGTGTGTTATGTAGAAGCCAAGATCACATTCCAGAAGTGAAAGCTTATGACCTAACTCTAACCCTGACGTCTGAGACTGCTTTTACCGGACCATGTTGGTGGGCTGGGAGTAACACACAACTGGGCAGCATTCGAACCTCGAAGAACCCTTGAAGGGAACGGGACCGTCGCTCTCATGGAACAAGCCAGGACACGTAGATGTGCAGTATAGAAGCTGACCGAGGTCACACAGCTAAGGACTCACAGGTTTGGAGACCTGGTCCTGACGGGCAGCCCAGCACTCTTCCCCAGAAACCCTGCCGCCTCCCACTTCACAGTAATGAAATGAGTGGATGTAGCCGTCCGAAACACACAGGTGACACATACAAGTTTTTAAATTCCTCGATAAACAGTTTTACCTCTGAGTTGGAGATCAGTATCCTATTTGTCCTTTGGGAACACTGTGCCTTGATAAGAGCTGTGACTGAGAAGGGTTAAATACAGCAGGCAGGCTGAGTATGCTCGCCATTTTGTATTTTTAAAGAAGTGTCTTTATATACACTGAGTTGTAGAAAAAGTCATGATGTAGTTTTTTTCCCCTATGTTTTTCTATGCCAAAACGTGTCATGACTTTTCCAACAACCCAACATAAACCACGTAGGTATATAAATAAACCGTGTGTGTGTGCGTGTGTGTGTGAGTGTGAACAAATGCTGAGCAATCACTGAGGACAGAGTAAGAGTACGAGAGCATGTACCTGCAGGAAGAGGAATGGCGTGGCTAGAGATGGCGGGAGAGGGGCTTCCGTTTTGCTTTATTGTTTTGAAAACCAAGTATACTTACCATTGCTTCAAAAATTACTTAACAACACTAACAACAAAAAAGTCGTGAAAAATAAGTTTACTCTATGGTCCGGGCCTGTTTCAGAGAGGTTCACTGGACTGGAGAATTCCTATGAACCCTGACCCCGTGCCTCATGGGAGGTTCGGGCAGCATTTCTGAGGCCAGAGTGAAAAAGAGTCAGTGCAGAACCAAGGGCCCTTGGAAATGAGGCAAAGTATTACTGCCAGTCACAGAGCTGTATTTATATAAGACACGAACAGAGTATAATAAGGAAGAGGGACTTCCGTAATATTTCTGAGGTATCTTTCATGAGAGACCTTGTTTTAAAATATGCTAGGATTTAGGGCCAATCTTCACTAATTTTGGTCTGTGAGAACTAAAACGACTTCTCAGCGTTGCCATGAGGACTGTAGACTATTCCAGAAATTCCCTCGTGGGAGTGGGTAATAAATACTATGAACCTTTTCCTCATCTATCACTAAAATCTTTCCCTCTCCCTAAACTATTCTACATTTTACAAATTAGTATTAAAGACTACTAAAAATGTCTCTTGCAGCCAATCAAAGATATTCAAACTTGGTCTTATTATTCAGTATGCTTTAGGACTGACTGGCTGTTAGAGGTATCACAAATTAGAACTTTGATTTGTAAATACTTTCATCATCTTGAAATTCAACTAAAATACATTTTGAAAGGCAGAAATTTCCTTGTCATATTGTTTGATAGTAAGAGCGCTTTTAAAGGTTATTAATACAAAGAATCTGAAAGACAGGGTTAAGAACAAAGAACAGAAAGCTAGGATTTACTGGTAAAGTTTTTAGGGACTCTCAGTCCAGTTAAAGCTCCTCCGGTGCTTAAAAATATCTCGCCATCTAAAGAAAACCTCTGTGCAAACACAAATGCTACAATCCCACCTTTTATCCTGAGATTATTCCCCTTAGTAACATAACCCTAGAGTGACAACCACCACCACCCAAGAGAAGAGTCACGCTGGACAATTGTAGGGCTGCCATTTTCTTTAGTCCAGGAATAGGCGAATTGGTTTGTAATCACTAGAAAGTTCATGAAAGCCTCTCTTACGGCACGTGGGAAGACAAGGCAAGGGGGAGGATTACTATCTGTGATGTCTGGGTCAGTTCCATCCAATTTACACACCAATCACATTCAAAAGCTTTATCTGGAAAACATCAGGTGGTTCCTCAAAAGGCTAAACCTAAAATGACCGCGTGGCTCCGAGAATACACTGAGAATAACTAAAAACGGGCGTTCAGTAAACCCTGTACCCAGGGCAGCACTGTTTCCCAGAGCTGAAAGGTGAAAACAGCCCAATGGATATGAACAGACTAGCGAACCAACGAGCCAGTATGTCCGTACAATGGAGTTCTGGACCCAGAAAAGAATGAAGTACTGATCCATGCTGCAGCATGGCTATTCCTCAATGACGGGCTAAGTCAAAGAAGCCAGACACAGGGACCAGCAGTTAGCGTAATGGCTATGTCACTGGACTCCCACGCAGTCGACCACGGTGCGAGTCCCAGACCCGGTGGCTTAAAACTCATGCCGGGCACACGTGCGTGCATGCCCAAGATCCCAAGAGGAGAATGGAGAAGGGATTGCGGCATGGCCATCCCCCCGGGGGGTGATTTCTCGCTTTCTGTCTCTCTGTCTCTCTCTGTCTGTCTGGCGAGTGCATGCGCCCTATAGCAAAATCCTCTCCAAAAAAAAAAAAAAAGAAACCAGACACAAAAAGTCACCCACATTGTATAATTTCATTTATATGAAATATTCAAAAGTGGGAAATCCACAGAAATAAAAAGCAGATTGGTAACTGCTAGGGGCTTGGGAGAAAAAGGCATGTGAGAAAATGCTTAAAATGGGCATAGGGTTTTAGTCAAGGGATTTTTATTTCCCCGTGAGGAGAGAAGGAGAGACAGAGAGACTGCACTCCCAACAGGGTTTTACCACCGTGGCCCTCCCACCCAGACAGGCTCAGCTCATGGACGTAAGCCTGCCTGGAGTACTCAGGGAGGTTTCCAGACGTGACACCGGAACCTTCCATGTGGGTCAGCCTTGAAGGGCTTCATGTTTTTACCTCCGCAACACCATCTAGCCCGAGAAGGTTTAAGCTGCAGCAATGAAAATGCTTTGGCACTAAACAGAGGTACAATTCACAATGCTGTACTGCCACTGAACTGTCCACTTTAAAATGGTTAATTTTTTGTCATAATAAATTCAACTTAAAACATTTTATCTGTTTTTAATTTGGGCAATAAATTAAAGCTTTTAAATGCCTTACAAATTATTTTTCATGATGAAGTAATTTTTGTTTTAAAGCAACAAGAAATCCTTTAATGATATTTTTATTCAAAACATACCACACCCATTCACCAATTCATGGCTCATATGCTGCTTCCCTTAATGAAAATATAGTTTCTCATTTCACTTGGAAAAAGCACACTCTGGTCTATTTTTCCTTCTATATCCTGGTGTTGTTACCATCTTGTTATGGCCCATCTCATCCCAGCCACAGACAATGCCAGCTGTATTTATTTCCAATTACAATGACACATAAAAATTCAACTGAAAAAGATCCCTGCTGTTTTAAAATGTAATTCCCATCTCTCTCTTCCCTCAAGATTTATACAAGTTCCAGAGACTGAGATGCTGAGAAATCATGTTGATTCCAGGGTGAGAAGATTCGACTGACTTAATATTGTAGGATCCTACATAGATGAGGTATTGGACCAATCAGAAGACATTTGAAGGAAATGGTCCAAGTCACAATAACACTTTCACTATGTGTATAATTTATTAAAGTAAAAAATAATATTTTTCGTATGAAAAGAAAATCCCTCTCGGATGCATAATCATATTTAAATGTGCTTATTAATGTAGAGACCAGCAGTTGGCGTAATGGCTATGTCGCTGGATTCCCATGTAGTCGACCGTGGTTTGAGTCCCAGACCTGGTGGCTTAAACTCACGCTAGGTGTGTGTGTGTGCATGCCCACATGCACAAGGGGAATGGAGGAGAAGGGATTGCAGCGTGGCCATCCCCCCTGCGGGGTGATTTCTTGTTTTCTGTCTTTCTGTCTCTGTCTGGTGAGCACATGCGCCCTATGGCAAAAACCTCTCAAACAAAACAAGAACAAAAACAAACATAGCCACCATTTAAGTCTAGCAATCATGCGTGTAGAAACCTCACCACTAATTTCTGTGACTTAAGTCTGCTCATGTCCAGCACAAGTACGACCACGGGGGCCTCATCTCTACTATCCGCAAACCCTCCTCGCTGGGTTCCTGCCCGATAAGGCTGTTTGTGAATGCTTTGTGCTGATGCAGTCCCCTTTCACCACTGAAAAGAGAACGACTGACTCTTACCATAATTTAGAGCTTCTGGTGCTGTCCACTTAATGGGAATCTGCTTTAAGCCCGAAGAGGAATACACTCCACCGTCCTCCTGACGCGACATCCCAAAGTCACTGATTTTCAGAGTATTATTTTCACCTACCAGGCAGTTTCTTGCAGCAAGGTCCCTAGGTTACAATAAGACATAGAAAACACCCATTAAAACAAATTGAAAGCCGCTTTCACGTTTACGACTTCCACACTTTGCATTTTTACATTTGCGATGTATTTATAATGAGGTTAAGAACGCTGTGATTTACCAGTCCTTCCCGTCCTTCCTGTCACAGGTAAAAATCATCCCCGAGAATATTTGCATATGGAACAGGCCACACGCTAGTCTGCTAGGCATTGTGTATATTTCCATTTAAATAGAAAAACACTGATTCTAGGTTAAAGGAGAAAATCACAGAGGAGAAGCCAAGCAGACATGGCGCCATTTCTCCTAGGCGGGCTTTCTGAGAGCGGCACTGCCCGAACTTTCTGTGACCACGCAATGCTCTACCTGTGCTGTCCAGTCAGGCCGCCTGCCCCAGCCCTGCGGCGAGTGTGAGGATGAACTGGAATCCACTTCATACACACGTGCAGTGAGTTTAAGCGGCTGTGTGGCTAGCTGCCCCTGAGCAGCCCTGGACAAGCCCGAGAGCTTCCCAAAGGCTGAAAACGGCCAAGGTGCCAGGGGCAACTCTTTCTTCTGCAGCCGAGACAGGCAAAACCTCACCTGATCCAACCCTTCCTCCTGCCCCAAAACTATATCCCAGCCAAACCCAGCTTCTTTTGTCCCTGAGAGCAGGTAAGTTCCCTAAATGCACCAGGACTGTTCCCACTGCTGGGTCTTTGCCTGGAATGTTCTCTGTTGAGACTTACATAGCTGGATCCTCTTTTTTTGTTTGTTTTTAATTTTGCCAAAGGATGCATGTGCTTGCCAAAGATAGAGAAAGAAAGAGAGAGAGGGGAGAGGAGAGAGAGAGAGAGAGAACCCTCCCATGGGGGATGGTCACATTGCAATCCCTTCTCCTCCATTTCTTCATCCTGTCAGGATTTGTGGCATGTGTATACATGGTGTTTCTCAAGTCACTGAGTCTGAGATTCAAACCACGCAGTCACCCATGTGGGATCTGGGTCTCAACCCCAAGGCCATGGGGCCAGTCAGGCTGGCTCCTTTTTGTTCCTTAAAAAAGAAACAAAAACAACAAAAAGGGGGCGGGGCTAGCCAGTGGCATTGTGGTTATGGTGGCTGGATTCCACATGGCCAACTGCATGGTTGGAGTGCTGAACCCAGCAGCTTGAGAAATTCACACTGTGTGTGTGTGTGTGTGTGTGTGTGTGTGTGTGTGTTTACGCATGCCCCAAATCCCAACAGGATGGAGAAACAGAAGAGAAGGGGTTATAGCATGACCATCCCCCAGGGGGTGCTTCCTCACTTTCCTCCTCTCTTTAGGTTCCCTCCAGGGTGTGCACATCCCCTCTAGCAAAATTTTAAAAATAAATACAATAAAACTCGGGGTATCACTGTGTCTCAATCCTCTTACCTCAGCTCCTCAGCAGCTGAGACTACAGGTGTGCAACAATACACAGCTTTGTAGGCAGGCCAGGAGACAAACCCAAGCCTCCCATGTGGCCTCAGTCTATGCTACCACGGCTGGGTGCTCTTCATTCATTCTTAGCCCAAATTCCCTCTCTTCAGAGAAAGCTTTCCTGATCGTCCTTATCTGATAGGAAAGGCAGCAAAGAACAAAAGGTTCCTACTCTAGTTCTAGTGGAGTATAGTCTATAATTTAAAGACAGTATATGTGTATATATGCATGTGCACATATATGTGTATATTTATGTATGTATGTGTGTACACATATATGAATGCAGAGAATACACACACACACACACAGACTCTGAAAATCACATAAATGCTGAGTGGTGCTGAGCGTTAAGAAAAAAAAAAAGAGTTGTATAAGGGGAAAGAGCTATAAGAGGAACTCCTGCTTTAGACAGGATGGTAGGGAAGGGTGCTGTGGCAATGTATATTTCATTGCAGACCTGAAGTTAGGGAGTGAGCTATGGGGATATCTAGAAGAGCATTCCAGGTAGAAGGAACAGGAGACAGAAGACCCCGAGTTGGTACGTTTGGAATATTCGAGAACATCAAGGAAACTGGTATGGATGGAACAGAATGAATGAGGGAAAACAGTAGATTCAATTAGAATTAGCCAGAACCAGAGATTTGCTGTTTTTTTTTTTTTAAATTTCAGAGGGCATGTGTGCATGCGTGTGTGTGTGTGAGAGAGAGAGAGAGAGAGAGAGAGAGAGAATGAGAGAGAGAGAGAGAGAGAGAAAGAAAACCCATAATGGGGTGTGGTCACATAGCAATCCTTTCTCCTTCATTTGTCCATCCCGTCAGGATTTGGGGCCTGCACACACATATGCTCAGCATATTGTTCAAGCTGCCGGGGCAAGGATTCAAACTGCTGTTGGCCATGTGGCATTCAGCTCCCTGTGCATAGCATTTAACCACCACGCTATGGGGCTGGTCCAGGGCATATGCTTTTCAGGCCATAGTAAGCTCTTTGGATCTCATTCAGAGTAAACTTGGAGGTTATCAGAGAGCTCTGCACACAGGGATGACATAATGACTCATGTTTTGAAGAACCGTATGGCTACTGTGTGGAGAGCAAGCTGACGGAACCAAAGAGACCAGCTAAGACTTCAGAAGTCTGGGTGAGGTGATGACAGCTTAAACTAAGATGAAAGTAGTAGACTTGTTTAGAAACTGTCCAACTAGGGGAGGATGCATCAATATTTTGAACCTAGAATCAATAGGATTTGCTGGCATATTGCACTGTGGAGTGAAGAAGAGTTATTGATGACCCCATGAATTACTGGTTTAAGCAACGTGAAGAGTGGAGCTGATCTTTATTTAAATGGAGAAAGCTGGGAGCAAGACCAGATACAGGTAATGGGGCAAGAGAGAGCCAGTTGCTTCCTACCGTCCATTTCCTCTGCTTCTCTGGTAAAAGAACTATTAGGTTGTCAGGAAAGTCATGATGTGTTTTTCCAAGTTTTTCTATGCAAAAATGTGCAATGGCTTTCCAACAACCCAATATTTTAGCTGAATAGTTTGCCATCCAGCTAAAAATCACTATGCTTCCCAGCCCCTGACCTGTAGCTGGGCATGCCAGAATCTAAGTTCTGATCAAAGACATGAAAAGTAAGAAGAGGTGCCTACAGTTTCTAGGCAGCTTCTTTGAAAGAAAGAGAAGCATCATTATATGCGTCCCTCCTGTCCACTGGAATGTGGCCATGACGGAGAATGTGAGTGACATTGTAGGTGAAGATGGAAGCTGGAAGAGCAGGAAGAATAGGGTCTCTAAGGACTGCAGAGTTGTTGTACATGCTCTGAGTTTGTGCAACTGCTGGATTTTGTTTGTGTGAGAAGAAAGTCCCTACATCATTCAAATGATGCTCTTTCTTAATCCCTTCTCCCTCCTCCTACTGCATATGCTGTCAAAGTTAACCCGGGGTGGGGGTGGACCTGGTTTTGGAGACCCTGAGTTTGAAATGTCCATTACTATCCAAGGAGTGATGCAGAGAAAGCAGTTGGATGTATTAGTCTGGAGGCCGGAAGCCAGGTCTGAGGCTTGTCAGCTTTGGGAAGATATTTGAAGCTATGGGATTAGAAAATGCTTTCACCTGGAGAGTGAGTGTAGCAAGATAAAAGAGAGCACCTAAGGACTAGAATGATGGTTGAAACTATGAGATATGAAAATGTTTTTTCTTAGAGAGTAAATGCAGAGAGATTAAAAAAAGGGGGGGAGGGAAGAAAGGCATTCAAGAACTAAGCCTTAGGATATTCCATTATTAGAGCAGGATAAAAGGAAGAAGACAGAGAAGGGCAGTAATTGAAGCATTAGGTTGTCTGGAAAGCCATGACATGTTTTTCTATGAAAAAATGCCGGGCACATGTTCATGCATGTCTAAAATCTCAGGAGGAGAATGGAGGAGAAGTGACTGCAGCATGATCACCTTCCCTGGGGTATGATTTGTCACTTTCCCTCCCACTGTTTCTGTCTCTCCAATGAGTGCACACTCCCTATGGCAAAAGCCTAAAAAAAAAAAAAATGAAAATGATATCTTTATATTTTAGTAGGGAACTTGGGTGGTAGGACCTAAAGATGATCAGAAAGAAATGTGAAATGTTTGCTAATGTTGGCTTGAGCCATTAGATCCAATTTAACAATGGAGGACCTTAGAAGCAGTGAAGGTTAAAATTAAATTTTTGACTTTCTTTCCAGTTTTTAGATGAAGAAGATCACCCTGAGCTTCCCTTGAAAAGTGAGAATCTCTGGACTGTTGCCAGACAAAGTGCGTGTTCATTCTTTCCCACAGATTAAGAAAGGTAGCTAAGTGAACGAGCCTTTCGGATGACTCTGAGTGCCGAGTTCTATGGATGGCACTGGCCAGAATAAATCCTAGCTCTGTCGCTTGTCATTTGAGTGGCCCTGGTGTAGGAAATTTCATTTTACTCATCTAGAAAACAGATGAGGGTTAAACGAGATGCTTGTAAAGAACCAGCATAAATATGTGGGTCAAAATAAGCCTTCAATATGCTGCTGCTGTCATGGTTTCTGCATTCTGTCCTGGTGCTGCTGCCCCTGCTGTCACCATCACAGCCCTTCTGCTACGGTTACAGGAGGCCCTGGACAAAACAGTTTTCAAAATGAGTCTTTAAGAGTATGCCATGATCACAAAGGAAGAGGCACAGGACCTTAAAGCATATGACCACAAAGAGGCAGGTTTGTAAAATACGCGTCCATAGATGAAGGTGGTGTTATTTACATCTTAAGAATTTCACAAATAAGTTACAAATAATTAGCCAACGCATTATCTTGAATTCCCAGTGGAATAAAAATCTCAAGTCCATCATCTCTGCTGAGACTGAGTTCATTTATTGTATTTGTCTATGAAGATAATGACCTTTGTCTACATTGTAGTTAAGTGGATTTCTCAGTAGATGACGTCCTTCTCATTACTTCGTTGTGTTTCCTCACTGTGCACAAAGTAGGCTCCAGAAGGGTTCTGGTGCTTTTTGCCTGCCTGACCAATTTCAAACCAGGCTGTAAGTTATTTCTTCAATTTG